GTTACAAATGGCCTGACATGTTTTTTCTTAAACAAAACTTGCTTTAACCACTTTGATGCTAAAAAATAAGACTATTCACTGTCTGCAAGGACCGGTGTCCATGAAACCATTGCAGTACTGATTGGCTAATTGATTTATTATATACGGATTAGACAAGCTTTTCCATATTTATATTTATAACCGCATATGAAAATACCTAAGTTTTTTGGATACTATTTGGACAACATTTTCTTTATGTAAAACACTGGACGCTGCAGCAGTCTGCGACAGACCTATACATTCAGCAATTACTGTTCGGTGCTCTGCTGGATGCAACATTAATGCTCGCAATTCAAGTCCTATTGCGACACTCTAATCCTATAGACTCCAGATGGCACGCTTTCTGACCTCTCTGTTAAAGTAGCCATCACCATAGGTCACCATCTGCGAACCCATAAGCACGATCTTGGAAACTCCCTCGAAGCTCAAATATATCCACAATTTCCTATACAGTGTATACATGCCTTGTACCAATCTGCAATGCATCAGCAACCGGCCCTGAGTTGTCCTAACCAGTGAAGCTTGACAAAGCTTTCAACTACACATCTTGCTCCATTTTAACATAGTGTGCATACCCGTATGATGTTAATGCAGTAGCAACGGTATGTATTTGTTCTCAGTCCTTGACCTGCTGGATTGTAGAATAGAAGGCATCCTCCTGTTACAAAGGTGGCGTTTTGCGAACCTTTTGAGGGACCAATCTCGCTGTGACGCTGGATGCTCTGCGCTTGGCTCTTTTGAAAATATATTAAGTTATGTCCAGTATGTTTCCAAAGAAATTCAACTGACTCAGAACACCTTATTTCACTTCCCCGTTATCCACTAGTCAGTGGTGTCCACTCTTGATCGGCTTTTTAATCCACAATAATCCCTCAACCTCTGGTTGACCTGGAGTTTCATCCAGGTCCCCAAGGTGTATAAAAGTTGACACGATTACTCATCTGACAGAGAGACGACAGTGTTAGTCTGTTTTTTTTTTTCCCTTGAATGCTTTAACTTCCCCCAATCCGGACTAGTTTTGAATTGTTGGAAATGTACCTCTCCGCTCAGAGCCTTCAGACACTGCTTGCAGCTTTAATTTGTCTTAAGTCTGATTGTTTGATGCTCAGCAGATTAACCGCTCATACTAGGGATGTCCCCATCAAGTTTTTGTGCCACTGATCTGAGTCCTTTAACATTTAATTTCTGCCAATACAAAGTTCCAATCCAATACTATGTTCATAGATAATACAGGTGTACAGTTCAAGTACATTCAAGTTATTAAAATCATCTAGTTCACAGGACAATTGTTCCAAAATGTTTTTATTTATTTTTTTTTTTACAAAATAAATTAACAAACCCTCTCTGTAATACTGTTTGGCCTTGTCGCTGTGTCCCTTTACAAGTGTGCTGCAGTGTTTGGTGCTTTGGTGCAAACTTTACCTGAGTTACCAAATGAACATTATT